AAATGTTATAAGGATCGGCCCATAATTGACCCTACCCGCCATATAAGGTGCCCTTCAGAAAATGACAGCATCTATAGTGGTATGATTCGACATGAACATATTTTATAGGAACCAAAATATCTTTGTCAAATTTTATAAGGATCGGTACATAATTGGCCCTACCCCCCATATAAAGTCCCCTTCACTCTCAGTGCTACCTTAAAAGTACGCATACAGCGATGACACTTGAAGCAAATATGTTTGATACATCTTTCTACCAATTTTTTTGAGGATCGGTTCATAATTGACCTAAACCCCATATGTATAAGGTCCCCTTCAGAAAATTACTTAAACGCTCATTAATGGATTAAAAGTAGTGATAAAATTCGACATACATAAATAAGTTTGTTACAAGGCAAAATATCTCTGCTAAATTTTATGAGGATTGGTCCATTATTGACCCTATTACCTACCCATCACACCCCCAAATAAGGTCCCCTAAGGTCCATTACTGCATTAAAAATATGAGTACAGCGATAAAATTCCACAAAAATATGTTTCATACAAGTAAAAATCTCTCATATTTTATGAGTATCGATACATAATTGCCCCTACCCCCCATATAGGTCCCCTTCATTTTTAACGCTCTACTGGCTTAAAAAACGAGTATAGCGATCAAATTCGACATTCGACAGAAATAAGTTTCTTACAAGACAAAATCTGTCTGTCAAATTTTATGAGGATCGGTGACCCTACTACCATATAAAGTACCCTTAAAAATTACGTAAACGCTTACTGTCTTAAAAATGCGAGTATATTACAAGCCAAAATCTCTCTACTAAATCTTATGAAGATCGGTTCATAATTGATCAGAAATTTAAGAACGAATCATATACCTACTTTATTAATATCTACATAAAATTAATAAATGAGTACATCATAGTATTAGATTTCAGAAAGATCGATTTATAATAACCTAAGTCCATATGTACGAATCATGCTTTATTCTTCATATAGGTACATACATATACTTAACTCTCTTACTTGTTTTTGCCTGTTCTGTTACTTACTTTAAGCTGTCACTCAAAAATTCAAAGTTTCCACAAAAAATTGACTTTTGTGTTTTTAGTGAAAAATAGCAGTGATCACAAATTCTACTTGTTTTTATTCTATCTCCAATAGTTTCCGAGAAAAATTCACTTTTAAGTTTTCACTAAAAATCGGTTTTTATGGGAAATAATATTAATTACAGAATTTTTGAGACCCATTTCGAAAAGAATGCAGACATTTTTTGAGCATATTGTACTGAGATCAAGATTTTCAATCGCAGGTAGGGAACTGAGGACCTTTTCAAAACAAATATTTTTTATTTTTCTCATACATATTTAGAAAAGTTGTAAAGAAAAGAAAAAAAGTGTTGCTGTAGTGTTAAGATAAAATTAAATAATTATGTACATGTGTTGAGGAATTTTCAATTATGTACTCTCAAAAAATATTTCAACAAAATCTAAGCGGAAAGGAAAATAATAATTAACATGTAAGTGTATAAGGATTTCCTACTTTTCTTTCCACAAACAAAGCTTCATTATGCCATTTTATAGGAAACGGAAAAATTGTTTTTAAGTTTCAAATATGTACAATAGATGTCGCTACTTTTAAATATTACATTTTTCGTATACGAATCTGATTAACAGTAGAAATACAAATCTGCGGATGCGTTTTCTGGTTCCATGAGAAAATGTAAATTAAATGGAGTGCGGTTGCGGATTTTGTAGCCATTTTATTGTTTTTGTATTTCATAGTTTATTTATTCACCACATGATTTTTGTTCATGGAAAGTATGAATGGCATGGCAACTCTAAATGTAAATAAGAGAAAGTTCGTAAACAAATTAAAATTAATTTTAATTTGGTGCGGATTTCTTCAACGATTTAAGTTGTCAAAACTTAATATAAAAAAAATATCCGTCTCCGCAGTCACATTTTTGTATTTCTAATCTAAATGTTCCATTGTATTTACTAAATTACGTGAATTTTTTTGTGGATTATTCAAACATTGTTGCCAACTATAATTACAAAATAAAAAATGTGTCTTTGCTAAGCTAACTTAAAGTGACCACTTAATCTGGCAGCACTAAAATAATTCTTAAGGCGATCCAAATTAATCTATTTTTTTATCTTACGAGATAAGAACGAACAGCGGTTTGTTATGTGGCAGAATGAAAATGGTTGTTGCGATCGGGCTATAATTTGCCATGGTCATAGGCAAAAAAATATGGAACTTTAAGTTTTGAAAATGTACTCCATAAACGCTCTAGGGTCGGCGCTATGGGCAATTCAATGTATAACACCTTTCACATGTAGTTTTAAACGTGTGTTATTTTCTTGTTTTCCCAACGATTTCAATGATTTGTATATTTACTGAAAGTTCTCATTGCATTGTCTTTTATCAATATGTGTCTCATAATTAATAAAAAATCTCTATATTTTTTTCATGATATTATTATATTATGTTTAAATTCAAATAACGATTAAATTTATGTTCTAAATACATAAGTAATAACAAGTAAAAGTGTTATATTCGGCTATGCCGAATCTTATATACCCACTATCAAACTATTGCCGTATAAGTAATGCTTACTTATAAATAATATTTGATTTTTAGGTATTAGGCTAATATATAAGATTAATATGAACATCAGGGTAATGTTTGGAAGAGGGCCTTTAATGAGGGTAGTTTATACAACAATTATTTGATTCGAATTTCATCGCTGTACTTTATTTCAGATATGAGCATTAAAGTAATTTGAAGTGATCCACGCAAAATTTTGTAGAACGATTTTGGTTCATACAGATAATATGTATGTCGAATTTCATCGCTCTTATTTTGAAGCCATTAATGAGCGTTAAAGTCGTTTTCTGAAGGGGGCCTTATATGAGGAGTAGGGTCAATTATGTCCCGATCCCCATGAAATTTGGTAGACAGATTTTGACTCATGCAAAACTTGTTTATGTTGAATTTCATCGCTATACTTGTATTTCAAGCTATTAATGAGCGTTAAAGTCATTTTCTGAAGAGGACCTTATATGGGTCAATTATGGCCCGATCCTCGTAAAATTCGGTAGAGAGATTTTGGCTCATACAAAACTATTTTTGTTGAATTACATCGCTATACTCGCATTTTTAAGGTGTTAAAGTTATTTTCTGAAGGGGACCTTATATGGGGGGTAGGGTCAATTATGACCCGATCCTCGTAAAATTTGATAAAACTATTTCGGTTCCTATAAAGCTTATCCGTGTCGGATTATATTGCTGTAGAGTTATTTTTAAATGTATATTTAAAATGAAAATTAGGGTCAATTGTGGGCCTATGTCCTCCATAATTCAGAATTTAAGTTTTTGGGTCACAAAACTAACTTTTGCTAAATTTTGTCGCAATTGCTACATAATCAACAAATTTGTGACTGTTTGAACTTTTTTACACAGCAATCCGAGGGGCACATTTGTATGTGGGCTATGTGAAATCGTTGACCGATTTTGCTCATTTTCAATACCAAATATTTCTGATCAATAAAGAATATTTTGGGAAAATTTCATCTCCCTATCTCTTTTTTTGTGAACGCTTTCGTGCCAACAACAGACAGATGGACGGACATAGCTAGATAGGGGTCTATGAGCAATATTTCAATGTGTTACGCACAGAATGACAAAATCAATATACCCTACATATTTTTTGATGGTGGGTATAAGAATGATTATTACTGACATTAAACGAAATGATTCATATGTATATATTTTTTTTATTACTAATCTCTTTTCTACAGAAATGAGTATAAATACATACATATTTACAAAGTTTCATCATTATACGCATAAATGTAGATAAAATTTAATTATAATTTTTCCATTAAATATTTTAAATATGTATATAAACTAATGTACATAAGTACATATCGGTCATTTACTACAAAACTGGCACAATCCAAAATAGAACGTTTCGAGCAAGACGACGTTGAATGTTTTATGACATTTTGCAATTTCTTAAATAAATTAAAAAAAAAAATCATGGGATTTGAAAAATGAAACCGGACTTAAATAGAAAAACTTATCAAATATTCGTAAAGATATGACTTTAGTTTTAATTTTTAAAACAAAAAATCCCAATATTAGTAGACATTTTTGAAAATAGATAAAACTTAATGAAATACTTTAGAACGGCGCATATTTTTTATAGACAATACTAAAAATGATGAGACATTCTACAAATGTAGACATTCCATTTGTATTCCATCGACATATACATACATGTGTAATGCTATAGACTCACAAAAGTATATTCTGGGTGCTTATAATATTCTAAGGCCATCTAGGTCATGTCCGTCCGTCTGTCTTTTGAAAGCACAATAGGGTCCGAACGAAAAGAGGTTGAAAATTTCCCCAAGTGTTACCTAAAGGTTTGTTTGGCCTTAAAAATGGTCCAAGTTTTTGCATAGTCCTCATTCATATGGTTCCATGGAAAATAGACTCAATAATCATAACAGTTTTTTAAATTTAAGTTTTGCGATGAAATTCGACTTAAACATATTTTATATGAACCGATATCTCTTTATCAAATACCGGTTTATAATAAAGGACGTTAAATGATTTTAACGTCCTTTACGTGCTTATATATACGAGTACAGCGATGAAATTCAACATAAATATGTTTTATATGAACTGAAATATTTTTTATAAATTTTAAAAGTATCGGTTCATAATTGACCTTACCCCCATATAAAGTCCCCTTCAGAAAATGACTTTAACCCTTTAAAATAGTATAGTAGAGTATAGCAATGGAATTTGACATAAACCAAAATCTATGTAAGCAATTTTATGAGGATCAGTCTATAGTTGACACTAACCTCATTGGTTTCCCTGATGATAACAAAACGTTATCTACAATAAGCTTTTATGGAACTCTCTTCTCCGTCGGATGTTTAAATTTACATATAACATAATAATATTAATAAAAGTTACCAATGTACCAAAGCTCTAATTTTATTCTCCGATTTATCTACGGAATTTTATATACATACATGTGTATTTCCTTTACGATTTAACATTTTAACATTAAGAAACACAGCTTTTGTTTTCAATAGTTGCTATTTATTTTTATATTATGATAATGGCATTATCATCTTTGGATCAGCTTTTCTATATATTTAATTTATAAACTAAAATATCCGAAGGATACTTTTCCCACTTAAACACCATAGAGTGGAGTAACAGTACTAGTACTAGGACCTTGGTTACTACCACCAACATTTGGAAGAGTTGGTGGTCCAGTGTATGAATTACCGGCACTGGGTGGGGTAGGAGGAGCACCTGGTAAAGTTGGCATGGGAGCTGCCTTTGTTAAGGCACTCATGAACATGCACATAAAGCACAAGCTTATAACAAAGTGTAGGACTAAAGAGAAAACAATAAAAATTGGCAAATTATTAAATTAAAGTATGAAAAGTAATTAAACTTAGTTTTCTTTTTTACTAAGTATTGTACTTACATTTCATTATGAAAGTTATTTGTTTTCCAACTAACTTGATTGACGTTTTCACCTGATTTGTGTTTATGTCTTTGATTTTCTAGCTTTTTATAGGATTTTGTTATGTTTATGGATGTTATTTTTGAATGCGTATTTACTTAATGATAATAAATTAATTTAAATTAATATTTAATACATATATCGTTAATACATTGTTGATATAAATGTTATCTTATTTTTTTAGTATATAGTTTTTTTTATTTTTTTATCTTAACATTTGGATTTTCCAATATGAGTTAAAGTGGATTTATATTTCATTATTATTTGGAATTAAAGTTTATTAAATAGATCTCTTTATGTTTAAATGTTGGTAATTTTTATTTTTTTTTTTTTTGGAAAATTTCATACATTCATATATTCTACTCTTAAGTACGCTTTTATAATGAATTACTTCTATACCGATCATATTTTATAGCTCTCTAATTTCAATTCTTTTCTATAGCCACCAATATCATTACAAAATTTACATGTCGAAAGTTATTATTTGTTATGTGTAATGCAATACGCAAAATTACAAAAGAAAACTGTGTTTTTCCTCTCCTGAAAACCTAAAACAATTTTTGTCGAAGCAACGACTATACATATTTTCACAATATTCAATAACAAAAAACACATAACTGTTTTTGTCGGAGTAACGAATATATATTATTTTCTCAATATTCAATGGTGAAGGATATTCTTCTATTAAAAGTGAGTAATTGAAGCCCAATTGAATGACAATTCATTCGTTAAAATCATATAACGTGATGCAAAGTTATTCCGTTATTATTTTTATTCCGCTATTTATTTTTAAATAACCAATATGTCCAACTTTAGAGGGCTATTAATAAAAACCGTAAAAATCGTCATATAATTGTAGAATATTGGATCCCAGACATGGAAAATTCAATACTTTAGTACTTCTTGATATCGAAAAATACTGAAGTACCCCCACGACTAGTCTAGTCTATAGTCTAGTCTATAGTCTAGTCTATAGTCTAGTCTATAGTCTAGTCTATAGTCTAGTCTATAGTCTAGTCTATAGTCTAGTCTATAGTCTAGTCTATAGTCTAGTCTATAGTCTAGTCTATAGTCTAGTCTATAGTCTAGTCTATAGTCTAGTCTATAGTCTAGTCTATAGTCTAGTCTATAGTCTAGTCTATAGTCTAGTCTATAGTCTAGTCTATAGTCTAGTCTATAGTCTAGTCTAGTCTATAGTCTAGTCTATAGTCTAGTCTATAGTCTAGTCTATAGTCTAGTCTATAGTCTAGTCTATAGTCTAGTCTATAGTCTAGTCTATAGTCTAGTCTATAGTCTAGTCTATAGTCTAGTCTATAGTCTAGTCTATAGTCTAGTCTATAGTCTAGTCTATAGTCTAGTCTATAGTCTAGTCTATAGTCTAGTCTATAGTCTAGTCTATAGTCTAGTCTATAGTCTAGTCTATAGTCTAGTCTATAGTCTAGTCTATAGTCTAGTCTATAGTCTAGTCTATAGTCTAGTCTATAGTCTAGTCTATAGTCTAGTCTATAGTCTAGTCTATAGTCTAGTCTATAGTCTAGTCTATAGTCTAGTCTATAGTCTAGTCTATAGTCTAGTCTATAGTCTAGTCTATAGTCTAGTCTATAGTCTAGTCTATAGTCTAGTCTATAGTCTAGTCTATAGTCTAGTCTATAGTCTAGTCTATAGTCTAGTCTATAGTCTAGTCTATAGTCTAGTCTATAGTCTAGTCTATAGTCTAGTCTATAGTCTAGTCTATAGTCTAGTCTATAGTCTAGTCTATAGTCTAGTCTATAGTCTAGTCTATAGTCTAGTCTATAGTCTAGTCTATAGTCTAGTCTATAGTCTAGTCTATAGTCTAGTCTATAGTCTAGTCTATAGTCTAGTCTATAGTCTAGTCTATAGTCTAGTCTATAGTCTAGTCTATAGTCTAGTCTATAGTCTAGTCTATAGTCTAGTCTATAGTCTAGTCTATAGTCTAGTCTATAGTCTAGTCTATAGTCTAGTCTATAGTCTAGTCTATAGGTCTAGTCTAGTCTATAGTCTAGTCTATAGTCTAGTCTATAGTCTAGTCTATAGTCTAGTCTATAGTCTAGTCTATAGTCTAGTCTATAGTCTAGTCTATAGTCTAGTCTATAGTCTAGTCTATAGTCTAGTACAAAAGCCGGAAGTTTTTTCACCAAATTGACTTAAAAAATAGCCCTTTGTTAAGCCCAAAAAAAAAGTAATCCCTAATGTACATATCTTTTTATACCCTTCACCTTCGTGAGAAGGGTATATATAAGTTTGTCATTCCGTTTGTAATTTCTATAATATAATTTTCCGACCCCATAAAGTATATATATTCTGGATCCTTATAGGTAGCGGAGTTGATTAAGCTATGTCCGTCTGTCTGTCTGTCTGTCTGTCTGTCCGTCTGTGTGTTTGTTGAAATCAGTTTTTAGAGGACCCCAGATATCGGCGAGATCCAAATCTTCAATAATTCTGTCAGACATGCTTTCGAGGAGATCGCTATTTAAAATCAGCAAAATCGGTCCATAAATACCGGAGATATGAGCAAAAATCCGAGACAACCTCTGAAAATTTCATAAAAAAGACAATTTTTTCATGCTTTGATATACGCAACAACAACAACACTGCTTATTCATTTACGGTTGTATTCATAAAAAGTTAATTTAGGTTTATTAAACATTATTAAGCAAAATCCACGAAAATGGTATTCATAAACGTCAAATAGTTTAAAATACCTTCAATAAACCAATGACAAATAGAAAAAATTTATTGCATGCTCGACCCTACTTTATGCCAACAATAAGTTGAATTCTTACAAATTTTGTCTCTGATTAAGCTTTTTTCATTAATTTTAGGTTGAAGACGAAAACTAATCATGTTTTATTCTGAAATGAAATCTAAAAATTGTAATTTTAACGTTTACAAATTTGTAAATAATATTCCAGATAAATTTTAAAAATTTCTATTTTGATGAAAAAACTAAAATCTAGGCATTATTGGATTAATAGATGAATATTTGACAGTATTCCAGTTGGTCAATACTATTTTTGGCAATTTGGAAATGCCCGCCTGTCAATTAAATCATGGCCACAATCAATATTTGTCTTTTTCATAGTTTATTCGCTAAATATAAAGCCATGAAGTAATTAAGAGTGTAAATTATATTGATTAGTGTTCTATCAATGCAAAATATCTTCTCCGGCAATAAAATGTAGTCTTTTATAAAAGAAATTTATCAGTGTTTGCAAAAATTTATTAAAAATTGCAATAAAAATAACAAAGTGTGCATAGTGATGTTTATTTTGTCACAAAATATTCGTTATTCGAATACTTTTAATTATAATTAAAAATATATATGTTATATTCATTCATCTGAACTAAATATATATTTATTGTAGCCATGTATACATTTATTTTTCTTAAAAGTTCGTTCTTATTTTCAAAAATGTGTTATAACCAAAAATATAAAATTAAGAAAACCGACTCAACGAATATTTTATCCTAATTGTTCGCAACACTAACACAGAAAATGACAGACAAATTGTACAGTGCTGCCAACTTAAACAATAAACAGCACAATAGTTAATGTAGATTTATTATTTGTTTAAATTTATTATTTGTTTGGATGGCTGTGTGTTTCATTGCATTGTGTATATTGTTTTTGTTTCTTGGTGCATTCAGTTTCGTTTGTTTGGATGTCTGTTGATTTCATTGAGTTGTGTATTTTGTTTTTACTTTTTTTTTCGTTTCGTATGTTTCATTGCGTTGTCTATTTTGTTTTTGTTTTTTGTGTATTTCGTTTCGTATGTTTGGATGTCTGTTGGTTTTACTGCCTTGTGTATTTTGTTTTTTTGTGTGTTTATTTCGTTTAGCGTTGTTGTTCGTTTTGTTATTGCTATAATAATGATATAAACGGGAAAATGAAATAAATTAAAATTTTATAGAATTGATATTTTTAAATACACTGTGGTGAAGGGTATATAAGATTCGGCACAGCCGAATATAGCACTTTTACTTGTTTAAATTCGAATTTAAAACCTCAACCATTTTAAATATACCTACATGTATCCGTATGTATTTTTTTAGCAAGACTTCAAACCATTATAAAATAATAAGTGGCAACAATGTTTTAGAACAAAATTGTTATACAATTTAGAATTGGCAAGGCCTTTGTATTTAAATAAGTATTGTAGCAAGCGGCTGGCGTGGACCGTGTGGCCTAATGGATAAGGCGTCGGACTTCGGATCCGAAGATTGCAGGTTCGAGTCCTGTCACGGTCGCAGATTATTTTTCTCTATTTTTTATTTCTAAATAAATATTTCACATAGATTCGTAGAAAATTACTATTAAATTTAAAATTTTTTGTATAAATTCAAAATTTTCAAATAAATTCTTAACATTTACCTCCTTATTCACAAACAAATTTTTTATTTTATAAAAGGTTTATAAAACAAAATTTTCACACAAAGGTTAATCTATAATTTCAAAAAAATTAGTATAAGTCTTGCTTAATTTACATTAATAAAACGTTCTAGGCTCCCGGGCATTCAGTAGACCGTGTGGCCTAATGGATAAGGCGTCGGACTTCGGATCCGAAGATTGCAGGTTCGAGTCCTGTCTCGGTCGTAGGAACATTTTTTTAAATTTTGCCAAAATATGTATGTTTATGGGGTGATAGAACTTTTAAATACATATGTACATATGAGGAGGCGTTATGACGAATAATTGCTATTTTTGGAACCATAGTATGTTCAGTTTTTTAATCTTGGTTGCTATGGTGTTTGTACATGGGCAATTTCGTGTCGATTTGAAAAATTTGAACCAAGGTGTTAGTTAATACTATTGAGTAGTAGGCCAGACACAAATGTTTAGCTCTATCGGTCAAACGGGGGTTTTTTTTAAATGAGTGTAACTTTTCACCTATTGGTCCTAGCAAAAATTGTCCATTGGACTTTAGATTGCTATTTCCTCAATATTTCTAAAAAATTTTTTAAATATTTTTTCAAAATCTTATTTTAACCAAATAGATGAACGCATAAAAATCGTAAAGTTAGATTAAAGTTTTTG